AAGAACTAAGGAATGGAGGCTGCTTTGGACATGACAGAGGAGGCCTCACACACCACTGGATAAAGGATCAGCTCTAGTAATAGGTGTAAGGGAGTCAGCTATTCATAAGAAATGGATAGTAAGAAATTTAAAGCATGAAATTAAGTTATTTCAATAATTCTTGAAGCTTTATAAATATCTGAATAAAAAGGAGCTAATAGGACATCTGAGGGAAGGTAGGAGGAGGACACAGAATCAGAGAGGCCCATCAGCTGCACTGGACACTGATGAAAATGAACTAAGCAACTCAAAGGCAGCGATGGGAGGGAGGGAATGAGAAGGAAAGAGGGAACAGCTGACACTAAGCAAAAGGAAAGAAATGTAAATATCACTGGATGTGGAAGAAATGGTTGTATTTCAGAGCTCATAGCCTTCATAAACTTTATGGACCATGATGGTGACAATTGACCTTGTGAAGGTTGAAGTGTGTTGGTGACTTTAACTGAGTGTCGGTATTTCACAATACTGTGAAATATGTGAAATTTATATAATCACCTAATCTCAATAAAATATATTTTAAAAAGAGCTAATACATTTTAGATAAAAACATCACAAAGTATTTTAAAGAAATTAATATAAAAATTCTTAATATTTTATGCTTCACATAAAACACAAAAAGAAAGATAATGATCAATTACGCCAGTAAGAATATGAGAATAAAATAATTCCTGTGGGTGAAAAGATCCCATTAAATGATAAAATGTCAAGCTATATCCTAAGAATTGTATATGTTCTCTGAGATTATTAAATAGATGAACATAGCTGATAATATCCACAATATATAAATAAGGACAAAAACATTAATAACCTAATGGTAAAAAAGGATAAGCTTATAAGCAAATCTCAGAAATGAAAAATCCAAATTTCTCTCAAATATGTAAAGTAATATTTATTCTCAGATAAAACAAAGAGAAATCACAGTTAAATAGAATTCCATTTGTAGTAGAATGATGGCAGGTTAGTTACATTAAAATTCATATATTGTCAAAAGTCATTTGCCCAGAGTTTCTTCCTGGTGATTTTTATTGAGGAAGAACAAGCCAGACTAATAGAATTGGTTAAACACAGGGTTAGGATTATCCTAATTTATCACAAAGCTATTTCTTGGGTGTACCTCTTGGATGACAAATCCATGCTGGGCTATTATTATTATTTTTCTTACTAGTAAATCAAGAAAAATTTTCCTTCCTTGTGTGACTCCTGTCTCGAAAGCACTGAAGATGTTACTGTCATGAGCACAAGTCAAACAAGTTTTATCTTACCTGTTCTTTACATTTCACCCAGCCCAGAAAAAAATCCAGCCAACCAATACTGGATTCAACACATAAATCAAATACTATACCAGAAGGTTCCTATATCTGTCACCACTATAATCAGCCTCATCATCTTCACCACATTATCCTTGATATCACCTCAACAGTCAGAACATTATGTACAGGTAAATGGGATTTTATTTGGGAGGTGAGATATGAAAAAATCTAACCAGGAGACAAGAATTATCTTCTAGGTTTTTCAATTGTTGCTTTTTATAATTTAATTTTTGTTTCTAGGCCCTGTCAACCTATGCTACTGTTTGATGTCTAAAGGTTGTTAAAGTTCCTGAAAATTTTTCAAAAAGTAAAAAAAATAAAATAAAAGTTAGGAAAACCGAATTTAGCAAGATTTTGCTTATAGGAAAAGAATATAAACTTACAATTGACTTGAAGCCTTACAGAAATAAGACATAGCATTATTTTTCATGGCTCACCAATAAAGGACATTATGATATAAAAGAATTAATAGAATGACAGAATTGTGTATGGTATTTTTTCTTATAAGTAAATAAATGAAAATTTTGTAAAAATAGGAAAATGTTTTTAGCAATATATCTTGAATTAGCAGCTGGTAAAATTTAGGTGTTTCTCAAACATCACAAATTTCCAGATGGCTTCCTTTTGTAGGATATTTTTGCTGCCCAGAATCCCAGGAGAAAATGGAGGTAGAAGACAATTAATATGTTTCTTTGCTTTCTGTTCCAGCTTTCATTCTAGTGACTGAAAAGCTCAATGGACAGGAAGTAGGGTTGCTTATTGTATAATCTCTGGGGAATTTTATATTGGACACATGCTTTAACACTCTCCATTCATATAGCAGAATTTATGTGTATCTTATTTAAATGGCTTGTAAATCAAATTGTAACAGCTAAAAAGTATGCTTTTGTGTGCTGTATGGTTTCACCGCTAAAGAACCACCAGAAAATGGTTATGAAGAAATCCAAAGTAGGAGGTGGCACCTGTCATGGACACTCAGGGTAAAATTATAAATGAAGTTGATGTTTGAATATTGTGAATACTGTATTTACTGTAACTTTTGCAATCAGTAGTATTACTACATGTTGAATAAGGTTAATTGTGCCAAAATAACAATGGAATCTTATTTGGAGTAGGTTCAGACCAAAAGGGAATCAATTTTAGTTTTATAAAACATGTGGATTAGTTTGAATTGATAGAAAATTGTTTGTAACCATTCCTTCTGTCAAATAAGTAATTCATCTTGAAATGCAAGTTTCTGAAAAGTGTGATTGCAAGTGAATTTTGTAAGTGAAAAAGTAAATTATTTCATGAATAGAACTATTTATGTTTAGAATATCAAAACTTCATCTATTATTCCCAGAATCTATGTATTACCTTTACTCTAAGAAAGATTGAGTTAATCATAAATCACTGCAATCTTTTTCTAAATTTATTTAAAAAGTATATTTTAATTATCTTTAAATAGTTGTACAAAGGAGCTTCCAATCCAAAAAGCAGTTTATGAAGACAGTGTGTCTGGATCTATGTCATTCCTTTTAACATTCTCACCCATCCCTCCCAAACTGCTGTTATCTGTTAGATACAGGAAATTCCTTTGTTATTTTGGCAAGAGGAGAATAGACATGTAAAGGAGAAAAATTTTTATCAATTCTATGCAATCTACTGATTGCAAAAGTTACAGTAAATACAGTATTCACAATATTCAAGCATCAACTTCACTTATAATTTTACCCTGAGTGTCCATGACAGATGCCACTTTCTACTTTGGATTTCTTCATCACCATTTTCTGGTGGTTCTTTAGCAAGGAAACCATACAGCACACAAAAACATACTTTTTAGTTGTTACAACTTGATTTACATGCTATTAAATAAGATACAGTTTCTTACAGCATCCAAAGGTGGCTTTAGGAAAATATTTTCTTCTGATCTGTGGAGTAGTGATTATTAATATAGAAATCATCTTATTTAAAGTCATTATTTAGACTACCTAACATTTGACTAATATGCAGATGGAGCTCAGAAAGACAAAGCTACTGGACTAGGTGAAGTGACTAATCCTAAATAAACTTGAGACCTATCATAGTACACATTTTATAGTCATTAGAGAAAACATGTTACCAAATATTAGTAAATAAACATTGTAGAAGACACATCTTTCCTGGCATTTTTCTCTTGGAGAATGTGATTAAACAGAACTCCACTATGAAAGCAGAACTGGACTATGATTGAGATAGGGAGTTTCTTAGGAGAGCTTTGACGAATAATGTTTCTGGGAAATAATAACACATCATTAAAAGCGACAGGTATAAGGGAGAGGTAGGATTAAGAACAGAGGACATAGTGAAGAGGAAATAAAACTAGGTGGAGTCATGCCGTTGTGGTTTTAAGTAATGGTAAAAACAGGGAAGAACAAAAAGCAAAAAAGAAAATACCTTACCTATCTGTTTTAGAGGGGAAGAAAGCAGAAATATTAATTTATTAACAGCGAAGAATATATCCTGGATTGTAGACTTCTATTTTAAAACTTTATTCAGGGTGATACAGAATGCAAATTGAGGAAACACCTGCACTTGTTTGGAAAGGTAAAAAAAATTGGCTATATATCCTTTTTTAAATGGGCAAATTACATGGCATCATGTTTTTCAAGCTATCAAAAATAATTGGAGTTCAAACCTTGTATAAACTATGTTCAATGTATCCATAACATCTATTCATAACCATAAGCGATTCTATCTGTAGAGATAGAATAAGTCACGTTTTTTCTGATACTGTTTTATTTAATTGTTAAACATTTAATTGTTTATTTAATGATAAAACAACTAAATATGCTACAATTTATATTGCATATGCATAGTCCAACATCCAAAAGCTATAAAACATAGCTGAGTAAAAATTAAATAGAAAAGAGACTTCGAGCTGGTGGCTCCTGTCTGTAATCCTAGTTACTCAGGAGGCTGAGATAGGAGAATCACACTTCAAAGCTAGCCTGGGCAGGAAAGTTGAGGGAGACTCTTATCTCCATTTAAAAAGCCAGAGTAGGAGCTCAAATAGTAGAGTGCTACCCTTGAGCTAAAAAGCTCAAGGACAGTGCCCAGGCCCTGAGTTCAAGCCCCAGGACTGACACCAAAAAAAGAAAAATAGAAAAGAAAGTAATCTATAATAGGGATTACTGCAGTTGACAACGTTTTCCACATTTATTAAACCTACAAATGATGTCATATTACTATATTTAAGTGAGTCTATGAATTGTTATATATCCATCTACATGATATGGCTATAATTTCCTAAATATGAAAGGACCACCCTGAATATTTTGCTATCAGCTTTAGAGTTTTACAAAATAAGAAAAGTCAACTTCTCAGCAACATGACGGCAGAGACTATGTTTACTTTTGCCCACTTCATGTAGCCCAAGCTGACATGGTGCTCAGATATGACCTTTTAAGTGAATGATTATTAGGCTCTCTTACCTTGATTGGAGTTGTCTCTGATTTAAAGTAACGAATGCTTAACTTACAAATCAAGGTACATGAGTTGAATAAGAGCTAGGTGGATTTGGAATGTCTACTGTCTAATTTAAACCATTTATTTTTCCATTTTCACAGACCCAACATATCCTTCCAGAGGACATCTTGGCCACTATGGATAATTTTTAGTATTCTTGGAACAATGGTAATCCTGGGAGTAACTATTGGTCTCCTTGTACATTTTCTGGCAGTTGGTCAGTATTTACTACTTTCGGCTTTAATCTATATTAGTGACTGTCCCTTTACTTTAGAACATAAGAGAAGGATGAATATTACCTTTCTTCTAGGAAGGTTTCTCATTTGCTTCATATTTGCTTACTATTTTATTTCCACATCATATTTTCATTATTTGGCATTGAGGTTTTCAAATTTTGTTTAGATGTTCCTCATACATGATGTAATTAATTATGGCAATATGGGCAGTATTGAAATGTTCAATACTTTGATGGCAATGTTAATTTTCAACAAAGGAGCTGTGCTGTGGGCTTATAGCTGGATCTTTATATCCTTTAGTAAACATACTTCAAACTGTAGAGATCCCTTTTCTTCTTTCTCAAGTCTATTGGTTATTAAGATATAATGGATAAGTAGCAATGGATAATCCAGAAATGAGTTTCCTAATTGTAGGTGGTTAAATATGGTCAAAAATAGCTTAATGTTTATACAAATATAATATTTTTAAATTGCTGTTAGTAACAGTACACTTACAAAGTTTGGTTTTCCAATTTATTTTTACCTTTCAAATATATAAGCTCTTAAATTTGTGCTTGAGCCTTTCAGTAATCGCTAAGATGGGAATGCCGTGTGGTTGCTGAGTCACTCTTCATTTCCCTTCTTTTTCTCTATTATTATTATTATCATTAATTGTGTTGCTGGACTTGGGGCTTGAAATCAGGGCCTGGGCACTGATCCTAAACTTTTCTTGCTCAAAGCGAACAAACACTACCTCTTGAACCATAGCTCCACTTCCTCCACTTCTGGCTTTTTGGTAGTTAATCAGCTTCCTGAACTGTCAGGTTTACAGGCTTGAACCACACCTGGCTTGTCAGGAAATATATATATAAATATTTTATGTATAGTTGAAATAAACAATAGTTTATTTTGTCTTTTTCTTTTCCTTTTTTATTGTTAAGGCCAGATACAGAGGAGTTACAGTTACATAAGTAAGGTAGTAAGTACATTTCTTGTCAAACTTGTTACCCCTTTCTTTTTTGAAATTTACATTATTATTATTATTATTGTTATTATTAGTATAAAGGTGATGTATAGAGGGATTACAGTTACATAAGTCAGGTAAAGAGTACATTTTCTTTCATACAGTGTTATCCCTTCCTTCATTCTCTCCCTCAGGTTATTTAAAATTTGAGTTAATTACTACTTTTTTAGACAATGGTATTAAGGGACCTGAGACCACTTTCTGTTTTGAAACTGTGATGTTTTCATTTCACAGGAAAAATGTATTATTACCAAGGTGATTTTCACATTTCTGGAGTCACATATAATAGCAGTTGTGAAACTACTGCTTCCCAAGCTAACACAGACTTGAGCCGAGATATGGAGGCTAAGGTAAGTCAGAGATTGCCTTTACCAACTTCACTGTAAACTTGATTTTAATATTCATAGTGGCTCTTTGTTTTCTCCTTTTTTTTTGTACAGATGTTATCTGTGTTTCAGAATTCTAGAATATTTAAAGAATATGTCAGCTCCCAGATCATCAATTTTTTGTAAGTACAATTTTATTCAAGATTGCATGGAGTAGAAAGTAGGTGATATAGCCCTGAGTTTAGACAAAAACCAGCATATGACAGATAAACAGAATTGGGTTTCTGGCCTAAATATGCGTTTGAAATGTGTTTGGTCATGGTAGAGGCAGGAAGGATTCAGGGGGAGATGTATGGAGTATAGGAAAGCATGATAAAAGTTGACAGCAAATTGTAATTTGGTAATTGTCAGCATCTAGTTTGGAGAGTTTGTACTCTCACAACAAAACAGAAGGTCCAATTTGAACAACTAACCAACTTGCCTATTATAAACAAGCACCTTCAGTTATCTTTCAGCGAGTCAAATTATTTGGACATAGAATTGCATATTTAAAAATTGTGATTCATCAGGCTGGGAAGGTGGCTCAGTGGTAGAGCGCTTGACTTGCATGCATGAGGCCCTGGGTTCTATTCCTCAGCATAAGCAAAAAGAAAAAAGCCGGAAGTGGCACTGTGGCTCAAGTGGTAGAGCGCTAGCCTTGAGCTGAAGAGCTGAGGGACAGTGCCCAGGCCCAGAGTTCAGGCCCCATGACCGGACCCCCCCCCAAACAATTGTGATTCGTGGCCAGGAACCAGTGACTTATGCCCTTCATCTTAGCTACTCAGGAGGCTGAGATCTGAGGTTCACATTCAAAGGCAGCATGGGCAAGAAAGTCTGCAAGACTGTTATCTCCAATTAACCACAAAAAAGCCAGAAGCAGAGCTGTGGCTCAAGTGGTAGAATATTAGCCTTGAGCAAAAAAAAAAAAAAAAAAAATGCTCAAGGACAGCATCCAGGCCCTGGATTCAAACTCCTGAATCAGCTTCTTTTCTGGTTAATAAATAGGCATACAATATGTACATAACCAAGATTGTTTTATGATTTTGTATTTTTACAATGAGCTTTCTCAGTGTTTATTTATATTGGAGCAGACCACTCCTGCCCAAGAAGCCAACAAAAGCTCCAGTGTAGATGCTGGGTGTATGTTTTAAAATTCTTCCCTGCCCTTTCTTAACTTCCTGATTGACTTCTTTTTCAAAATTAATTACAGAAAAACATTCTGCATGAAAATTCTGGTGTCTATTGCATTATAATAAATTTTGAGAATCATTGACTGGCTAAGATTCAGTTTTTCATATGTGTCTGAAATTCTAAGTTCTAATTTGTGAGTTCATAACTTCTTTCACCAACAGTACCAGAAAACTTTTAGGAACACTTGTACTTTATATTGGGCTATTATCTGCATATTATTGTTAATAAATGTAAAGAGATAAATGTGGTAATGAACGTATTGGCCATTCAAAATACTCTTAAACTATCAAAAAGAATCGGGAAGTGGCATTTTAGAACATTTCTGTTGTTTCTAGGCCTCATCCAAATGGGTCGAGGGTACAATTACATATGACATTCAAGTTCCCTCCAGGAAAGAGTCAGAGCATGAGGAGTAAAATCAGAGCTATCTTACAGCAGATGTTGAAAGACAACATGGCAACCTGGAAAGCAGTTCCCACTTCCATTAAAATTATCGGTATTTTACTGATTTCTGTTTTTATAATTGTTTAAGAAAAGTAGTAGAGGAAAATGAACTAACAGTTTCTGGAATTCGCAAAGATTGTTTTTTCTTAAAATGTAGATAACGTTCAGCAAATATATGCATCTGCTTTTTAACTTCTTTGAATGCCTTATTGCAAGTATGACAATTAAAATACTATTGGCAACATCAGCAATAACATAATGAAATCCTCCACACATTGTTTTCAAGAAGACTGGAGAGGGAAGGACAAAATGAAAATGCACTGGAGGACCATGAATATATTCAAAGGCACTGTGCACATATCTATTACAAAGAAACTAATTTGAAACAAATCACAAACAGGAGAGCTTTGTTTTTATTTCCTTTTCTCTTTTCCTCTATCACGTGATGATGATTTGAAGAGATTTTTGATAAGTAAGAATCAGAGAATTTGATAACCAACACATTTACAAATCTAAGTAGTTCAATGTTGGGCATAATTGGGCCATTAAAGTTAGTATTTATCTTTTGAACTTGAATCAACTTGTTGGTGATATTTTTACAATTTTTTTTTTTTTTACCAATTTCTCACTTTCAGAAATCAGCAAGTTTAAGTCTGACATGCTTGTCAACAACTGTAAGTTAAGAAATTTAAATTTAATGTAAATTTTAATATGTTCACAAGTTTCTACAAATGTTTTTCATGAAAAGATCTTAATGTGGAAGTTTACATTACTTTTTCAAAATTATTGAATATGCCAGATATAAATCTGGAGATCCTTTGGAAACCATTGGACTGACTTTAATATTCATAAAGATTGGTACAAAGGGTGAAATGAGAATGAATTCTAAATAATGGAATTATGAGTAGAGGCTATCATATGTAAAGAACAAAATTAATAAGACTGAAGTGAAAAAGGATAATTTTGAAAAGAAAATGTAACAGATGAAATAAATCAAATATTTATTCCATTATAAATACAATTCTACCTTGGAAAATAAATTCTCTCTGGGGTATTATGTTGTACGCAAAGTACATCTACTTCTTGACAAAATTCTGCAGAGAACTTTGCAATTTAACCCATAGGTATAATAAAAGGCAGTAGTTAAAGTATGGTTAAGACTGGAAAAGAGTAAATCAGAGTCTCTCAGGCAAGATAGAAGGAACCGTCATGTGGTAACAGCACATGGCAGAAAGGAGCCGAGTCACTTAGAAGAAGGGTTTCAATTAATGTTTTTAAGGTAACACTTTTTAAGCATAACCAAAGATAACAAATCTTTTCTTTAGGTTGTGGAAGACCAGTGGTCAACAGCATTGCAACTGGCAACCGGGTTGTGAATGGGAAAAATGCCCAAGAAGGGGCATGGCCGTGGATGGCCAGCATACAATGGAGGGGCACACACTTCTGTGGAGCCTCACTGATCAGCAGCAGGTGGTTATTGTCTGCTGCTCACTGCTTTGTTAAGTAAGTTAAAAATTTGATGAAATGTAGGATTTGGGGTACAGGTTTATTCTGAGTAACGTGCGTGGGCAAACCTAAATGTTTGAGGGATCACCAAGACAAAACAAAGTTTATAAACATACAAAATTGATTATTTCCTGGATAACTAAATGACAAGAAAAGTATTTAACTTTGAACAGAGGAGGGAGGAATTGAGCAGAAAAATGTCACACTTGCCCCAATAGCTACTTTGGCCGGGTTGTAAATATTTTACTTATATTATTTCATAGTCACAATAATTCTCAACAATAAACACAGTGATTACTATCTTATATGACTTGACCGATTTAAAGATGAGGAAATAAAAGCTCAGAAAAGTTGGCATAGTTAACTTGCCAAAAACCATACAGCTCTTTTGTGATAGAAATTGAATACAGACACTGGTACATCTGATATAAATTACCAGGAGCTCATTTGTCTTGCCCTTTAGGAATTTTCAGTCTCACTGAAGAAAAAAAATATATATTAAAGCAAAAACATTATATACTAAGAATAGAAGGCAGCAGGTATGTGGTAAAATCCCACATGTGACTCACAGTAAGAACTATGGAAAGTAGAAGATAGTTTATCTATCTGTGCTATAAAGATATAAGATTTGACTTGAATATAATATTTGATCGATAAGGGTGGGTGGATGAGAAGGCATCACATGTATTTCTAGTTTAGAAAACTTCCTTCTTTAAACGTGTGGAAAGGGAACAGCATGAGTTGTGTTCTTCAGAAAATAAACAAAGGAGAAATGATTTTGTAAAATGAAATATTAGAAAATGTGTTTTAAAATTTTAGTTACATTGATTTGGACAACTCTGAAGAATGAATAAGAAACTTAGGAAAGTAACATAATTTTGCAAACTACATTGATAGGACTGTACTTTTTCAAAAAGTAGCCCATGATCATGAACTACATGGGAACTTTTTAAAAGAGCTTTTAAGAACTCAGTGGGTTTATGAAACATAAATCTCTGCAGTGGAACCTGAATTGACTCGGAGGAAATGAAGTGCAAGAACCACTGTTGTTGGGGGCTGGGAAGGTGGCTCAGTGGTAGAATGCTTGCCTTGCATGACTGAGGCCCTGGGTTCGATTCCTCAGCACCACATAAACAAAAAGAAAAAAGTCGGAAGTGGTGCTGTGGCTCAAGTGGTAGAGTGCTAGCCTTAAGCTGAAGAGCTCAGAGACAGCACCCAGGCCCAGAGTTCAGGCCCCACGATCGGACCCCCCCCCCAAAAAAAAAGAACCGCTGTTGTTGAATCATGGATTCATTGAAGCTTTAAGGAAAAAAAAATGGCACCTGAAAAAAAAAATGGTTGGAGCTGGTGGCTCACACTTGTAATCCTAGCTATTTAGGAGGCTGGAATCTGAGGATTACAGTTCAAAGCCAGCCAGGACAGGAACATCTGTGCGACTCTTATCTCCAATTAACCACTAGAAAACTGGAAGTGGCACTGTGGCTCAAGTGGTAAAGCACTATTCTTGAGCAGAAGAGCTTGGGGACAGCACCCAGGCCCAGAGTCCAAACCCCACCACTGACAAAAAAAAAAGGCATCTGAAACTTTGAGGGAGAGGTGAAAACATACAGAGTGGTTATAGCCTTAAATTAGAGAGTTTCTGTGAGAAAGTGGAGCTAATCAGGAAATCTAAATTACAGTTGAAGATGCATTCAATGAGAAAGATGTGCAACATTTTATGCCCACAAGCCTAAGTGGAATTAAATTTGCACAGGAAACATCTATCAACGACTCTCACTGGGATTGAGCATTCTTTTTATAAACTGCAAACTTATAACATCTTTAGGGTTGAGAAATACTTTTTAATAAGAATTTAAATGCTGTGTAGTGTCATTTGAGAACTTCATGCCTTCAAGGTAAGAGATCTTGACTGTTGAGAAAACTGAATATATCTAAATTAAATTGTGTCTTCTAGGAAAACAAGTTTAAAAGATTGGACTGTCAACTTTGGACTTGTAGTAAATAAACCATATATTACACACAAAGTGCGGAGGATCATTCTACATGAACATTTTAAATCTGCTGGGGTTCACAATGATATTGCACTTGTAGAACTGGCTAATGAAGTGTCTTTTACGAAGTATATTAGGAAGATTTGCCTTCCTGAAGCCAGCATGAAGCTCTCTGAACAGGACAAAGTTGTGGTAACAGGATGGGGAGCACTTTCTATGAATGGTAAATTTTCCCATCAAAACTGAGAAGCTAGCTAGGCACTGGTAGCACATACCTGTAATCCTAGCTACTGAGGAGGCCAAGATTTGAGGATCATACTTCAAAGCCAGCCTGGAAAGGAAAGTCCGTGAGACTCTTATCTCCAATAAATTACTCAGAAAAAGCCAGAAGTTGCACTGTGGCTCAAGTGGTAGAGCATTAGCCTTGAGCAATAAGAAGCTCAGGGACACAGTCCAGGTAGCAAGTTCAAGTCCCATGACCAACGAAAACAAGCAAATGAAAATCATAGAAGCTTAAACAATCCAAAAATTAGTCATTCCCTCATGTAATCCATTAATCAGTAAATATTGTTTTAAAAAGATAATCAAGGCAGTAGCAAGGACACAAAGGCTTATCTTCAATTTCTGAAATATCTCTAGAAATAGAATTGGGAAAAATCATTATGTATGAGGCAGTCAATAATAATATACATCTGAAAAGAACCAGTGAGTGCATCTGAGGTCTCTTCTGGATCTTGGTAATTTAAAAAATCTACATGATGCCAAATGGCTTTTTAAATTTTTTTTCTGGGCCAGTCCTGGGACTTGAACTTAGGGCCTGGGCACTGTCCCTGAGCTTTTAGCTTAAGGCTAGTACTGTACCACTTGAGCCACAGCCCCATTTTGGGTCTAATCTTCTTTATTGCAACCAACATGGCTGAGATTTCTGTAATGCAAACCTTTCTTCCCTTCAGGTCCTCGACCAGTGATACTCCAAGAAGCTCCTTTGAAGATTATTGACAATGAAATTTGCAATGCCCCACATGTGTTATCTGGCTTGGTGCTAGACACCATGCTATGTGCTGGATACTTGTCAGGAGAAGCTGATGCCTGCCAGGTACATGCAGCTATTACTCAAATGTTTTCTCCCAAAGTGCTAATTAACGGGGAGTTTTTGTTAACATATCTTTCCCCCACTATGTATTATTTTTAATCCGGATAGAGAAATCCACTTGAAAATGATCAGTTCTATGGATATGTCCTATGTACAGTCTAGATGCTTGGGAAAAACATAAATCCTTCTTTCATGGAATAAGCTTAATTTCTACCAACAAAAAGTATTCAGTGTAAGAATCTTCACAAATAATTATGCTTTGAGGGCTTAGAGATACCACAAGTGATGGAATGTTTGTCTAGTAAGTACAGGGTTCTCAGTTCAAATCTCAGTACCACCAAAAGAAAAAAAATAAAAGAAGACCCTCACAAATTAAAGTACTTAGACATTTATAAAAGTAAACAGTCCTATGTTTTGGGAAGCCTGCAGATCGAGGCATCGCAGCCTCCTCCAGAGAGACGGTGGAAAGTTGAGCTTGTGTTCCTATCCCCAGGGATTTCACGGAGACAAACACACTGTCAAGTTCACAGCACTGAGTTGCCTTCTTGTTTTAAGACTCTTTTTATTTTTTAAAAATTTATCAGTTGTGAGGCTTGAACTTGGGGCCTGGGAGCTGTCCCTGAGCTTTTTGCTCAAGGCTAGTGCTCAAAGTGGTAACTTTGATCCTGTCCTGGCTGGCTTTGAACTGTGATGCTCAGATCTCAGCCTCCCAAGTAGCTAGGATTACAGGCGTGAGCCTCCAGCACCCAGCTTAAGACTAACCCTTAAGTCAAATTCTGGTCTACCCAATGCAATATTTGGTAGCTGAGGGTAATATATGGTGGTCTGTATGATCCTGAGTTTTTGGTAATGCCAGTTGGTCCAGAATCCTAAAAGAAAATGATTTGGTTTCACTACCCAGGGGCTAAATTACAAAACAGAGGCAAAAGGAAAACTTTATAAAAAGATAAGGAATACTTGTTCTCTTCTAGAATGATTCCGGTGGACCATTAGCTTATATTGACTCCAGGAAAATCTGGCACATTGTTGGAATAGTAAGCTGGGGTGAAGGATGTGCTAAAAAGAATAAACCAGGTGTCTATACACGAGTGTCTTCTTATCATGATTGGATCATCTCCAAGACTGGACTCTGAAAGAAAAGTAATTATGAAATTGAATATCTTATCTATTGCATCAAGATCCTCTTTTTCTTTTAAATGATGACAAATGGATCATTTTATTATGTAACAAAATACAAATATCTATATATCATTATATCAAGAGCACTATTTGATTATTTATCTATTTAGCTAATTCAGAAGACAGAAAGAAAAGAAATAAAGCCCAAACACTATTTTTAGTAATCACCTAGCTTTAATTAAATCTTATAATTATGTTCAGATTTTGTTTTTTTCATAATTAACAGGAAATAAACATTCTGTAAGTATGAGAACAAGTATGTAGGATCTATCAAATACATTATATTAAATAAATTATATTTTACCTTATTAAGCTGGAATGTGGGAGACAAATAATTTGCATTTTTATTTATTTTTTTCTATGTACCTCATAAAGTCAGATGTTGGGAGAGAGAAGGGCAGTCACAGGTTGATCTAGATGAATTCTTTCCATTCATAGATTAAGAAACTGAAACCTAGAGAAAATAAATCATTCACTAGTTAATATTATTCATCTTTGATAAGCCAGGTGAATTGAACCTGTTGAGTTTAGATCCAAAATGTGTTAGTAATAAAGAATGATCTCTTGTCTTTCCTCTAGTGATGAAATAATTGTACTGACGGTTACACTTCTATAAATCAGGCTGTAACTACAATGTATGTTGCCTTCTCCTTCATTCTTCCGGCCCATGCTTATCTTCAAGTTGCAGAGTTCATTTGTACATAATGCATATTGAATTCAATGGCTTACAGTTGCCCACCCAAGAATAATTTCTTTTTTTTTAAATTTTATTGTATTGTAAAGATGCTATACAGCGGGATTACAGTTACATGAGTAAGGCAATGAGTACATTTCTTGTTGATCATTGTTATCACTTCCCTTGTTGGGGGGAGAATAATTTCTAAATTACATTTTCTTATATAAATCATTATATCCATCTTATTGTTCTTTGTTTATTTCCTTTTTCATCCAAAATATTGCCTTCAAGGCAACTATAAAACACCTATTTCAGTAGCTCTCCTTAAGGTGAAAGTACAATTGTGTGATAGGTTGACTTTGTAATCCCTGCAAATAATTTGCCTTTTGTAGTTCTTTCAAATGAAAAAAATATGTAGCATCAAAAATTTAAAGGCAGGTAGCATAAACTGAAAAAAATTATTTTATCTGTCTGTGGTGTTGCTATTTTCATGCTTTCTATGGTGTGAAGTATGAACTCTGCTGGAAATCCATACCCCAAAAGGTGACAAAGTGGAGACTTTCCCATCCTTTACTCAAGGAGCTCACAAATATTTATTGAGCATCTATATATCTAGGACCATCATGAATAGAAACAGTATCTTTCTTTAAGGATTCTACTTTCAGTGGATAGAAAAGAACAAACAAGCAGTGAAAAAACCTAGTATCCTTGAGTATTTTTCTGTGCCATTCATCACAACTTGTCCTTCTCCTAAATAACTCATTCACTTCCTCTCTCCTTGACTTCAGCAATTTCTTTTCTCCCTCCTACATTCTCTTGATGATCATGCTCATTATTTCACCAATTTTTTTAAAAAAAGAAATCAGTAAGATGAGAATTTCTACTGGTATTTACTATGAAAACCAAGCAATCAACTTTCTTCTCTATAGGAATATAGGTAAGTGGACCATGGAGCCAAACAGCCTGTGTTTGCTTTCCCCACGTCTACTAGATGTGGGAATTTGGGCAATTACTTGATATCAATATTCTTCAGTTCCTTGATGTCACATAGGGATAGAATACTGTCCACTTCCTGGTGTGTTATGTTCAGTTCACAAAGTCATGTATTTGGAACACATAACAAATATATGGCTATTGTCTCTATATTTCTTTCTTTCTGTTTTTGTTTTTTGTTTGAGTTTTTTTTTGGCCCAAGATCAGGGCTTAAACTCCATATCTGATGCTTTTGCATCTTGGCTGGCCCCACCTTCCGGAGCCATACCTCCAATGCCTGCATTGTATATTATAAAAATGGATTAGCTGTTAATGTATTTAAGGCCAAATTCTCTGCTTAGAATTAAGACCCTGGATCCAAGATCTGATTGTTAAACACCAATATGCCAACAGACATAACTAAATCTCATTTACTTTTTTAAAAGAATGTGTTACAAGATGATGCATTTGGAGTACATTTTCTATTTCATGACATGACTATCTTTTGATCATTGCCTGGTGTCTTAAATGTACTTACATGTCCTAAGTACTAGTGACTATGAGTGATTACAGTACGTAATTTTTTGAAGAAAGTTAAAAAAATTACCTTTAAGTAGTTGTGCAAGAGTTGCTATTTAACAAAGAGGTTTATGAATACTATATGTGTGTGTGTGTGTGTGTGTGTGTGTGTGTGTGTATCACCCCTTTCAACATACTTACTCATTCCTCCCCTACCCACCTCCTCCCTCATTATTCTTAATTTGGTAGGCTATATCTTAGATTTTTGACTGTGTTCTCCCCCTTCTCTACTCTTCACTTGTCCACTCCTCTCCCTTTGAGCCCACTCCACCACTTTTAAGGTTTTTTTTTTAACCTGGATTTCTTTTTATAATACCAAGGCATGAGGAAATTTCAGAGTCTACTCTTGAAACATTTTTTATATGTCAAAGACATTTCAGTTTATAGTGATTACGGTATTGCAGAAAGAATCATATTACTGTTCTGTATGAAAGAATAATTCTATACTGATTTCCATATTACTGCCTTAAACACTATATATGGAATGTGAGAGGATGGAAAAGGTGACTCTGGTCAATTGTAAACATAAATGGATAGATGAAGCAGAAATCTTTTTGTACAACTATTTGAATGTAACAATAAAAATGTTGATCTCAGAAGTGGTGCTAGCTCAAGTGGTAGAGCACTTGTCTTCAGCTGAAGAGCTGAGAGACAGTGCTCAGGCCCAGAGTTCAAGCCCCATGACCAACAAAAAAAATACATTGTCAAAAAATGTTGATCTCCAACGTGAGACCAGGTCTCATGACAGAATCACTGCCTGTGTGTAGATGCACAGACCAGTGGCGAGTTTGTCAAGCCTCATCTATTTGGCAGTCCAAAGGTGTTATTATTCCTTGATGTTTGCTTTATATTGGCTACAGTGTGCAGAGTTACACGTGTGTGCTGTCAGTATGTCTGTCTGTCTTTGCATTTTTTCCTTTAAAAAATAGTGCACAGTGACTGTGTTTGAGCAAAATTATTTCTTGATGTGTGATTGTGCAGTGAGTGAAAAATGTTTCTTTGTGAAAGAGAGAGAATTGAACATTTTGTGATGTGAGATTTAAGTTATAACTTATTAAGCAATTTTAGTAATAACTTTTTTTTAACTTGTCTAATACCATTCTCAAGGTATTATTTAATGTGATTTATTTAAAGTTTTTTTTTGTTTGTATGAAGTTGCTGCTTTAGGGGAACAGTATGTTTTAGAAGATTAATTTTTTTCTTTCCAGTCTGCAAAGTTAGCCATTCAGAGCGAAAGGGCCTGATTATATAGAAGGCCCTTGAAAAGAGGTCCAGATACAAACAGAGGGAGAGGGGGAAGAGACACCATCTGTGTGTTGTGGAGGGAGATTTCCAATGTGTAACTACGGAGCTGTAGTACCATTAGAAACTGTGAATTTCCAAATAAATCTGAACACTTGTCTTTAAAAAAAATGTTGATCTCAGTAAAGGAGATAATAGAATAATGGTCAGTAAGAAAGATATGTAAATGGAGAGATAGAGAGGTAATGGGTCCTGAAATATAGATAGTAATGATTCATCTAAGTGTTGTATACAACATATGGTAACAATGATCAACAATAATTTATGATATGGTTAAAAAGAATTGAAGATTCCTAACACATGGAAATGTTAAATATCAGGAGGTAGAAATGCTAGTTTCCCTGATTTAGTCATTGCACATTATATACATGTATCTAATTTGCATGGTATGCTCCATATATATATATATCCCAAATATTATATGCCAATTAGGAGCATTTGAAGACAGTTAAGTTAGTCTTTAGAATCCACCCATTCTAACTATTACTGCCACCAGCTATTCTTTTTTTTTTTTTGTCGGTTGAGGGGCTTGAACTCTGGGCTTGGTCACTGTCCCTGCACTCTTCAGCTCAAGGCGACTGCTCTACCGCTTGAGCCATAGCGCCACTTCCGGTTTTCTAGTGGTTTATTGGAGATAAGAGTTTCACGGACTTTCCTGCCCAGGCTGGCTTTGAAAAGAGATCCTCAGATCTCAGCCTCCTGAGTAACTAGGATTACAGGCATGAGCCACCGGCTCCCGGCCCAACTATTCTTTATTCAGTTATTCTATAGCTTTCTGGTTTTTTTTTCCATTTATACAATGTATCAAAAATTTAAGATGCCAAGTCAAGTGCTGATGGCTTACACTTATTATCCCAGCTATTGGAGGCTAGGGTTTGAGGATCAAGGTTAAAACCACTACAGACAGGAGAGTCTGTGAGATTCTTATTTCCAATTAAACACCAAAAAGTGATAAATGGAAGTGTGACTGGAATGTTAAGAGTGCCAGCTTTGAGTAGGAAAAAAAGAGAAGCATGAGGCCCTGAATGAAGACTTAGTACACACACACACACACACACACACACACACACACACACAGGTTAAAATGTCTAATTTTGTGTTCACTTAGTTACTGCGCTCTTGTCATTATTGTACATGCTCCTGACCACTATAATTTTATCTACCAGTGTATTCTTAGCACGTAAAAGAATACCCAACAAATAGCAACTCTCAAGTAAATTTTGTTGCTCTGGTATTTCAAAAATAAACGGATTCCTAATAAAAAACTCTTAAAATTTCCTTTCTTCTTCTTACTGTCACTTCTGTATTCTTACTGGAGGGGATAACAAAAACATTACAAATTGGGCTGGGAATGTGGCTTAGTGATAGAGTGCTTGCCTAGCATGCATGAAGTCCTGGGTTTGATTCCTCAGTACCACATAAACA